TGACTCATTATCGACAATGTTTCAGACCGGGCAAAGTGGAGATGAATGAAAACGAAAAGTGGACTCTGACATTAGCCGGAATAGCGCATAGCAGGAAAATAAGAAGTTAATAGCTAATATTTTATTTCAAAATAACCATGTTTCTTCATTATCATCATCTTAGAAAATACCTTTAAAAGTCTTTACGTAGTTAAAGTTCTACCAACAAGAACAGACGCAGCGCGTACTAATTGCTTCATAGCCCTCTTAGAAATGAGTGAGCCTGCGCCCAGCTGTGGGATGCATCTAGACTGTAATTGTAACTTTATATTGTATCTATGCAGGTAGTCCAGTGAACCGTGGCGATGGGCGCGCCGGGCGTGTCGGACGAGTACTCGCCGCCGCGGCTGTCGCGGCTGCTGCACTCGCTGCCGCACATCAACGTCACGCTGCACCGCGTCAACGACACCTTCGCGCCCAACTCGCCCATCTACCTCGAAGTGAGTGACACTAACTTTACCTCAATTCAAATTATATTATAACACTTTGTTAAATATCCCGTTGCGGGCGCCTGTGAAGCCCTCCCCTCTACTGACAGGGCTGCCGTTCAGAGCTACGTCGTCTACCGTTTTGTGCGACAGCGTTCTCGTAATTATAACCACACATGTCGAGAAAACGATCAACGCGAAAGTAAAGAAGTAGCTTATGCCATTCATTCAATGGTATAAGTTGGCAAATGGCATATGCGTATAGTGGATACAAAGTTTTTTCTACACATATTAATTTATAGATATTTGATTTATTTACTTTAATTTACTCTCACTGTTGGTTACTTGTACAGTCATCGCAAAATAAATCGCTATCACAGCATGACGCTAGCGAGTTATAGGTAACAAAACTAATTTGTTGTTCGCTTTATAATTGGTTTTGCGGTGGTATGTGGTTCAATTAAATCGCAGTTATTCGATTAGGTCTTCGCTTGTATGTTCGCTAGACGTTCTCTTTTTCTGCTTTTTCCTAGATCTTTGAAGGGTTTTCGAGATATTTTTGTCATCGTTGCAACTGAGGATGAAGTTGAAGGATTTACAGTTATAAAATCTTCACTAGCTGACTCTCTTGGCGTTGTTGAAGGATAGTATGCACGCAACTTTGCCAATCTACATAAGCCTCAAGCCAATGTTCGTATTCTTTCCGAAATCTATCACTATTCCGACCGGTTGTCTTCCACCTCCGTTCAGCAGCAAGTGTGAATCTCCGACAAAATTCTCTGAGAGAACAATGTCTTCTTCAGAAAGCCTAAAATCTAGTCGAGTTAGCACTTCACTAAGCAATAGTTCATGATTAAATGAAGTATTCTGAATTTTCAGAATTGTAATTAAATCCGGAATTAGTATTTAAACTTTCCATATTGTAAATCACTGAAGTTCGTTATTGAGAAGTTCAAAAGAAACTGACCTAACAAAGATATTTTAGCCTATTTATGACCGTTTACTAATGATCCATTAATGACACTTTATTTATTAAGTAATAAAAAACAAGAAGTATTAGTAAGTACTTTTAACTCTTTTGTGAACTACTGCTAAGAGATTATTAATGACCTACAAAATCACGTATCTATTGTGTCTAGAAGCTTTTGTTAGTTAATGAATTCTAAAAAGATCTGATTACGACTCGTTAGTAGTACGAGCAAACACTAATCATTTTATTGTTGGTTTTTGTTTAGTTCTTGGTTCCTCAGTAAAATCAAAGACATTTTTATTACCATCGGAAGGAAAGTTTGATGTTGTAATAAACCTTTCGTGTGACATATTTTTAAGCAAAAAAGAACCCCTGTCAGTTGTCTTTCTGCATTAAAACAAGTTTGAAAAATAAGAAAAAAAAACATTTTTAACGATTATATAAAAAGTGCAGTATTTTCCGTAAATTGATAGTACGTCAAAAATCATAAATAATTAGCAATATAACCCACTCTAAGGATATAATGCGCAATTGTGCGAATCCGGGGATTATACTGATTTTTCGTATTTGCTCATACATTTATTTCATTATTTTCGTAAAAAAAATTATATGTCCTTAATTTTTAAGCCAAATTACCTCGTGTGACATTTTTGACCATAGTAATAATAAACAGAAAGCCTTTTCAAGCTTAAAACGACACTTAAAATTTTAAAGATCTCTCTATGTCTTCGAAACCCGATTTTCGCTCCAGTGTACGCCCAGTGATGCCAGCATCCAGCAATGATATTATAAGTAAAAAGGTGTAGATAGGTTACCTACACAATATTCGAACTTCAAAAACGGCACACTAACGCACACATGTATAACTAAATATTGCAATAGCACACTACATTACGATTAGACGTCAAAGTAGGATGGCATGATTAAACTTTTGCAAGCGTAAAAGAGGAAAATGTAATTTGCGACAGTGCGTGGTCTTGTGTAGTGGAAACGATGTGGAATAATTAATCAGATATGACATTATACCGTAGACCGTGATTTATGCCTAAAACGCGATTCACTCATGAGTGCAAGTAGTAAAAGTAATAAAGTAGTAAAAATGCATTAAAAGTAGGAAAATAAAAAAAATATTGGATTTATTAAAATTTAGTATCAAATAAAGTGCTGTACTAATTATTTATATACGAACGTACATGCCACTTCGTTACGCTACTAAACAAATAAATTGAACTTAATTAATAATGACATAGTTAATTTACCCTTCAATAAAACGAGAAATATATGTACACAATTTGAATTACGATACTCAGAAGAGATCTATCTGTTTTTTATATTCTTTGATCAGAAACAATATTACTTCTATTTCAAACTCACACATTGGGGTATTTTTATCCCTCTCTTTTTTTCTGACAATAAATTTTAAAATACGTAATTTATGAATTTGTAAACAATACGAAAATAAATTAAGGAAATAGTAAACGAATGAACTATGATTTCCTTTTGACTTTTGGAAACCTTACTTGTGTAGTTTGCGCAGAATCTTCATCACATATAACGGCATTTTTGGTGCAAAAACAAAACACGAATTACTATCAACGCCGCTGTCAATGACGCGACGATAGCGCGACGACTGAGCTCAGGTTTGCTAATTAGCCTAGTTTTTACGTGCCACTTGCGGTGCGCGTATAACCTATCTTCCTATTTTTCTTATAATATCATTGGGTGCCAGTCTTTGATTCATGTGTGCACGATTACCACGTGAAACGCATATTATTCGTACCATGCGTACATTAATGTGCGTGGCTTCGGTAATAACAGTGCGAATCGATTACCCAAAAATTTGGGAGATTTTATATTTCATTCATATTGACGTTTCTATTGATTCTACTAGTATAAAATCGTACGAAGTGTGTACGAAGCGTGTGTGCATGGGGATATGTTTGGTTATGTGTGTTTTATGTAGGTACGAACATCGCACTAAATTATTATAGATAAGTAATAAAACCTATAATTAATGTAACAGTTAAAAATAAATAAAATACTATAGTAGATATTTATGTACGTATCATATATTTAATTAATCTATTATTATTGAAAATATACATATAGAGTACTACACTTTTGTGCTGTAGAACCCAAAATGTTGCGTCTTTTTACGAAGACACTACTCAGTTTTCAATCCTAAGTAAAATGATGAAAAAAAGTAAGTTTGGTTAAGCGTAAACTTCGGCCAAGAGAGCGCAATTGTCTATATTTTTTAAATTCATATATCGATCCAGTCCATGAAATCTTGCCACTGGAGAAGATAAAATTTTGTAAAACTTGGTGTGTATATAGGCTACATTGTATACTGTAAAAACTGCAAGATTCCACAGGAATAATTCCACCTGTAACCAGATGCTATGCGAGGGAAGGTAAAAAAATAAATAAAAATATGAAATCAACGTTGTTTATTTATTAAATTACAATTTTATTTCCCGGAAATAGCGGATGACAAAAATCGTATTGTTTAAGGCTTCGAGAGTTAAGCACATCGAAAAGATTATTAAAAATTAGTACTGACTTTTCAGTCGCCAGTCATTCCTACAACACTGCAGAGCAAGTGCAATACTTCTACTAAGAAGCGGAGTTGCAAACTTCACTTTCATTATGGATTTTCAATATTCTATATGTTTTCTGCTACAAAATTTACTAGGTGTATTCTAGATTTTTCTTGTAACTCATTCAGTTTTTGTATGAATGACCACTTTACTTCGTCTGCATTTTCATCTAAAAACGTTGCTTTATCTTCAAAATGGTTCATAATATGCTTTACCATGTGGAAAACGTCTAAAAACACAGCGACTCTGTGATTCGTTGATGGATGTATAAAGGTTGTTATTAATTTGTCTGTGTTATTTATTTGACAACCTAATAATTCCATTATTAAAATATTTGTTGGGTGACCATCAAACGTTAATGAAACCGTTTTTACACGTGCTTCATGACATTTTGACAAACACATTCTGATCAAATTGGCCTTCTGCGTTGCTGTCAATCCATTAACTAGAAAATATCCTAATGGAATTTTCCAGCTATTCGTTAAGACATACTTACATAAATACATATGCTTCAGAAGCTTTAACCGAATTATCTGACGTGCCCGTGCCTATGTCCACAAGTCCTTGATTTTGATTTCTATCCGATAAGCTCTGCTGACGTATAGCAATTTCGTTAGCTACTAAGGCACAAATATATTTCTTGTCGCTATTTTAATATTAAAATATCAAATGCTTCAGATGTGAAACCTGGTTCACCGTCAACATTATAGTACCACGTACCAAGAGTTTTCAGATGAGGAAGGCAATTATTGAATGGTCTTCGGACGTAAATATATGCTCTCGAAGAGTTAAAGTTTAATGTGAGGCAAAACTACCTAAACTCTGTATTATATCTTGACATAGGCCTTTTTTGTTATGTTTTAGTTTTTTTAGCATATTACTGTACAAATCCGCCGCAAACGCATTTTTTTGACAAAAGAGTATGTGTATCGTAATTAATAAATCGCTGCCTCTTAAGAAATCCTATAACTTGTCGTAAGGAGGCATTTCTTTCCTAAGTCGACGATTTTTTTGCTGCAAAAGTTTAATTTTTTTAACATGCTTCATTTGAAGTGCGCTTTTTCTTCTGAGTTCTTTTCTTAGTTTTGCTTTCTTTGGTGTGTCTAAAATCGATTCCAAGTCCGACGACTGTATTTCCTACAACATATACAAATATTTATGACTAATTATCAACATTTCCATTTCCAATAATTTATCACCACACACAGGTAGATTACTTACCGGCTCCTCTTCTTGGTTTGTGATTGCAGATTCATTATTTCCCGTTTTTTGTCCCGTCGAAGTACTCTTAAATGATAAATAAACACATTCATTGTTGTTAGTGTTACAATATAGAACAATATTACAAATATAACCGGTTTTACATACAGATTCATTCAGGTTCTTTTCCACAAGTTCTTCCGAATTACCATCTAAATTTGAAGGTATATCATCGTCTTCGTTCAGATTCTCTGTTTCGTCATCATCAGAGATTATTGAAGATATGTATAAAGCCTATAAATATAACAATTAAAAATAATTAAAAATGATTTCTTATATTTACGCGAACACTACACATTGAAATAATACTAGTTTTTACGGAATTTATCGCGTGTATTTAACTTTTTAATTACCGGACGTTTCGAACGCTTTACAGCACTCATGGTCACGGGCAGGACTGAGATGTTCAACGTCCATGTGTCAACATAGTTAACCGCGGTTACCATAGATTAAAATTTAACTTTTGTTCCGATCTATGCAGTATGAACTTATGGTATCTTGAAGTCTTGCAGTTGTATGCTTGGGTTGGGATTTAATTTTATTTATTATAGGATCCCAAGCAGATGGTAGCACCCAGCCATCTTCTCTATTGAAATTAGGATGTTTTTTGATTTCAATAGCCTCGCGAATCATCCTTGGAAGGAATCGGTGTTCTTTAGCGAGGATATGCGGTCTATCAAATCTGATGTAGTGACGGGGGCGATCCTGTACGTGTTCACATACTGCAGACTTCCCGGAGCGTCGATTCTTCACATCAGCTATATGTTCTTTAACGCGGGTTTTTTATTGATCTTTTAGTTTGTCCTATGTAGGAGAGACCACATTCACAATCAAGCTTGTACACTCCTGCATCTTGCAGAGGGACATTACACTTGACCGATGGTAAAAACTGACCAATCTTCTTCAGCGGCTTGAAGTATGTTTTGATGGAAGCGCGCTTCAAGATGTAGCCAATCTTGTCAGTGACTCCTCTAACATATGGCAGTACAGCAGGTACACGCTCGACTGTGGCCGGCTTCACTCGTTCACTGTGACGTAGGCGCGGGACTCGAAGCTTGTTGTCATGCAAAACTTGCTTGACATGGTGGAGCTCGGCAGCCAGGTGTTTACTGTCACAGATCCCTCGTGGTCTCTGAAACAAAGATTTACCGACGGTAGCAAACTATGAAGAATGATGGTGAGATTCACCATTTAAATATCTATCTGTATGGGTCTTTTTTCTATACACAGTAGGGCTCAAGGTGTTATCAGGATTCCGAATTACTAACACATCTAGAAAAGCTAAGGAATTGTTTGCTAGATGTGTTAGTAATTCGGAATGAACAGCCTGTGTATAGAAAAAAGACCCATACAGATAGATATTTAAACGGTGATTCTCACCACCATCCTTCACAGTTAGCTACCGTGGGTAAATCTTTGTTTCAGAGAGCACGAGGGATCTGTGATAGTAAACACCTGGCTGCAGAGCTCCACCATGTCAAGCAAGTTTTGCATGACAACAAGCTTCGAGTCCCGCGCCTACTTCACAGTGAACGACTGAAGCCGGCCACAGTCGAGCGTGTACCTGCTGTACTGCCATATGTTAGAGGAGTCACTGACAAGATTGGCTACATCTTGAAGCGCGCTTCCATCAAAACATACTTCAAGCCGCTGAATAAGATTGGTCAGCTTTTACCATCGGTCAAGTGTAATGTCCCTCTGCAAGATGCAGGAGTGTACAAGCTTGATTGTGAATGTGGTCTCTCCTACATAGGACAAACTAAAAGATCAATAAAAACCCGCGTTAAAGAACATATAGCTGATGTGAAGAATCGACGCTCCGGGAAGTCTGCAGTCTGTGAACACGTACAGGATCGCCCCCGTCACTACATCAGATTTGATAGACCGCAGATCCTCGCTAAAGAACACCGATTCCTTCCAAGGATGATTCGCGAGGCTATTGAAATCAAAAAACATCCTAATTTCAATAGAGAAGATGGCTGGGTGCTACCATCTGCTTGGGATCCTATAATAAATAAAATTAAATCCCAACCCAAGCATACAACTGCAAGACTTCAAGATACCATAAGTTCATACTGCATAGATCGGAACAAAAGTTAAATTTTAATCTATGGTAACCGCGGTTAACTATGACATATGGACGTTGAACATCTCAGTCCTGCCCGTGACCATGAGTGCTGTAAAGCGTTCGAAACGTCGGGTAATTAAAAAGTTAAATACACGCGATAAATTCCGTAAAAACTAGTATTATTTCAAAATAATTAAAAAATCGTTCGTTAATGTATATTTAACAAATGTATTTATAGAGTTTTTGTAACTATGGAATTTTAAAACTTTGAAGCAAATACCTTTGTAGGCACAGCCCCCGAGCGAATTCTACGACGCCCACTCTTTGTTGTGTAAGTGTCCTTGACATGAAAGTGAACTGAACAAATACACGTCCTTTCTTTAGGCTTCCACCAGGATTCATTTCTAGCCCGCCTTATTATTTCAGTCCAACGACTTGAAGTTACGGGATCAGTTGGAAATCTACGCAGAGAATAAAAGCAATTTGACATTTATAATATTAGTATGGATTGTCAAGAATGACATATAAACTTTTGACCGGTTTATAATTGGCTTTTTTAAGGTTAAACTACTCACTCCTCTGGCTCTGGTAAATGACGGTTCTGAGTGACCAGAAAGATGAAAGCACAGGAAAATGCGATTTCGTGCTGCCTTAATCTATTTCAACCCTAAGCCTTAAAACTGTTTAACTCGGGTAAAACATGCAAAATTAGACCGTTTAAAACCCCTATACAGATAACCTTTCCGAATCATCATGACATTGAAAGATGGTAAAAACATTTCATACGCTAGGCAACACTCAAATATTATTGCGCAGTATTATTACTTGTATTGACATTTAGCTTTCGTATTATTTTACAAAGAAATACACCAGAAAATTGTATACTTACTTATGAAAAGTGATGTTCTTATCCTTATCTTTTTTCCAAGAGTAATTTTTACATGATTTCACAGCACAAATAGTCATTTTGCAAAATTAAAAACACCGGTGCGTGACGTATGTTCGCAGTGAACGTCGCGGGCGTAATGGCGGACGGAACGATCGAACGAATACACCAGTATTGGCGCCTTTTAAATGGAAGTGTTTTAGGCGGTATCTGGATCTATAAAACATCTTTGATACTGCGTTTATTTTTTTCGTATATTTACGCGAACACTACACATTATATTAAACAAATTTTACGTATTTATCTCCTTTAATTTAACTTGTATTTACTTATTATTAAATCCCGACTCCGATAATGCATGCAAATAATCCATGGGAGTTTTGGATGGGAGTATTTTTGCGACCTTGTTGGTGTTTTAAGCTTCAAAACGTAAAAATTTAACGCCTAAACAGTTGCCCCTTTTTTATTTGTGTATAAAAAAAAGATGTGCTTATGAATAAAACAGTGGTGCTACAAAAAATAATAGCAGTCTTGGCTCCAGTTTATAACAACTGGATTGTTTACGAATTTCACATTCAAGTCCTGCCGGTGCCGTGATAGTATCGACTATCGACAGCTAGCAGGTTAGTCGTGTTTGCCAACCTGACCTATAAGTACGTAGGTACGGTATATTTTGACAAATGACTATATCCATAGTCGTACTTATTTGATTCGCTATATAAACACAAGGTTGCATTCGTCCAAGTTTGCAAGGTTCCTCCAGTCTTTTAATTCCGATCGTGAATTCTTCTAGCATTTCACAGAGCCGGCTCTTCTGTTTAGGGTTGCCACCCGTACTTTATAGTGAAGTATTGAACGTTATTTGGGGCAAACGTACTATGACACCAATAAAGTACGTGAAAATATTTTTATTATCTCACTAAAAGAATGAATTATATAATATAGACATCATTTAAATATGTCCGTATATACAAGGAAATAATTCTGGCAATTTATTCGATTCACAATAACGACAAAACATTTCTCGAAGTAATCATTTTGTAAATTTATACAAGACCTCGTCATATCTGCTATCACTTACCGCCACTCCAGCGTTATTTAGAGATATTTTTTTTTTCAATGAATGCTAAGTGATGCGATGAAAGGAACAGAGCGTTTAAGATAACACTCTGTGTTCCTTAGACATAGAATGTAAAGATGTTTAAAAAAATTAGCATGTCAGATAAGTAACACTATATTTTCATTTGTCCTACTTACTTTTTTTAGCTTAAAAAATAAATAATAGGTCTTTACCTACGAAATTGCCATTCCACGGTACTGGCCATTTGATTTGTCATGAATTTGTTGCCTCCCGTCCATCTGATTTCTTCAAGAATGGCATCAATAAAGCGTCACTGCGTTGCGTTGGCGAAAATCCGTCGATTGCTTGTTTATAATATATGACTCTGATTATTATAAATAAAAAATATAGAAAAACAATTACGTTAACTTATTTCATAAAAACGCTCGTAAAAGATCTAATATACTTTATTCAATCAAAGAGGGTGGGAAACCAGCTTATGACACTTATGATACTTACTAGGTGTCCAGGGATGGTACGGGACGAAATAAATAATAATAGGAATATTATTTATGCATATGTATATTGTCGCCTCTACACGTTGGCCAACACAGTGGCGAATGTAGTGGCGAATATATTGGCCGGGAGTTGGTGACGGCGTCCACACGTTGGAAAGTCGTTCAGTTTACTTCGGTTCGGGCCAATGTGCGGACGAATTTATTAGCACCGTGGCGCAGTGGCTCAGCAATGAGTGGCTACGCCGGGCGCCGCGAGTTTGATCCCGCACGGAACAAGTATTTGTATGTCCTACAAATACGCGTAATTGTTTCGGGTCTGGATGTATGTCCTTGTGCAATTTATGTTTGTAAACTGCCTGCGTGATACGGGAGAAAATCCTAGTGTGGGGTTAACGTTTTTATAAAATAATTATAAGATAATGGTGGTTATTAATGGGGCTGTAAATAGATATACGATATACGATTAGCTTTATTTATTCTTTACATGCATCATAAACTGGAATAAATACCATTAATAAGAACTTAACTTATTTTAAAGTTAAAGGAGTTATAATCGATTAGTCTATGTTTTAAAATTGGGTTTTGATTTTAAAGCTTAGCAAAATATGTACTTGCATTTCTATCAGACATTTGATGTATATAAAAACACCTTATAATTTATTTGATAATTTAATTATTTTTTGAAAAAGACAAAAACAATAGCAATAAATATAATTAACACTGACTTAATAATAGTACTAATTATAACTTAGAACATAAATGACAAACTCATGACAAGGAAAGTGGCTCAGGAACATGCTTTGCGGCAGTCTGTGGAAGAGGATGTTCAGTAGTAGACTTGTTAAGAGCTGTAATGATGATGATGATTCGAAAACTTGCACGATTAAATTATAAGAAATCGACGTTTTTTTATAGGATAGTGTGACAAACGAGCACACAGTTCACCTGATGGTAAGTGCTTACTGTGGCCCACAGACATCTACATCTATCCTCGATTACGAATCAAAATGCAGATGCGTTGTCACCCGTGAGGACTAAGATGAAATGCCTCGTTTCCTTTAAAAAGGGTCTCTGGTTCTCTACACTCACTATACGAAACACAGCATCATTAAGCTACTATTTTACGCTGATATTCTGTGAGAGCGTGGTCCTTCCCCGGTCGAGCCGACCTTCGTGCTGCAACTATACTTCTAATATAATTGCATGGTTCTACCACGTATAAACGACGTGCTTCTTTTTTTCATTTTAAAATTATTCTCGTAATAATCTGATTGTAAAAAAACGTTAATTTTTTTTTGATAAATAGCTTATTGATTAAAACAAATGTTCAATAATAATTAAATCGCGCTAATTAAAGTAGTAGGAATGTTTAAAGTTAAAATTGGCACTAGAAGGCTGGTAATTGGGGCATCCACCCTACAAAGCTTGAATATAAAATTTAAATCAGATGCGTGTAATCACTCTGGGAGCTTGTAGCAAACTAAACGCGCGGCCAATGTGTGGACGCGGCGACCAAACTCCGCCAACAATCCTTTGATCTTTTGTAAAAAACCGACACCACACGGATCTCGCGCCAACTTGCGGGCCTCGTTCTCATCAATAAAGCCACAAGTGTGCCCACCCCGACACCAAACAACCAACAGAACCAGAGTTCGAAACCTATCCAACTGCAGAGAGGTGTAAGACAGGGTGACGTTATATCCCCGAAACTCTTCACCGCTGCGTTGTAAGACGTTTTCAAGCTACTGGACTGGAAAGGATACGGTATTAACATCAATGGCGAGTACATCACTCACCTTCGATTTGCCGACGATATAGTCCTTATGGCAGAATCGCTGGAGGACCTTAGCACTATGCTCAATGACCTCAATGGTGTCTCCCAACGGATAGGTCTTAAGATGAACATGGACAAAAAAAGATCATGTTTAATGTCCATGTCACACCTATGCCGGTAGTTGTAGGAAGCACTAAGCTCGAAGTTGTTGACGAGTATGTTTACCTGGGACAAATAGTCCGACTAGGTATGTCCAACTTCGACCGAGAGGTCAATTGACGGATTCAACTCGGCTGGGCAGCGTTCGGGAAATTACTACGCAACTTCACGTCAGGTATACCTCAAAACATGAGAACTAAGTTGTACAACCAGTGCGTGTTACCGGTGATGACCTACGGAACCGAGACGTGGTCTTCACTGCTGGTCGTATGAGGACGCTCAAAGTCGCTCAGCGAGCTATGGAGAGGGCTGTGCTCGGAGTTTCTCTGCGTGATAAACTTAGAAATGAGGATATCCGCAGTAGAACCAGAGTGACCGACATAGCCCAACGGATTAGTAAGCTGAAGTGGCAATGGGCCGGCCATATAGCTCGTAGAACCGACAACCGTTGGGGAAAAAAGGTTCTCGAGTGGCAGCCTCGTACCGGTAGGCGAAGTGTAGGGCTACTCCCCACTAGATGGAGTGACAACCTGGTAAGACATGCAGGAAATCGATGGATGCAGGTGGCTCAGGACCGTGCTTTGTGGCATTACTTGGGGGAGGCCTATGTTCAGCAGTGGACTTGTAAAGGGCTGTAATGATGATGATGATGATGATGGGCCACAGCATCCACTTCCAATCAGGTGGACTGTGTGCTCACTCACTGTGTCACCCTTAATCTATATATATATATGTGTGTGTATAATAAGTATGAGCCTATTGCAAAAATACAGCCGTATTGATAAAAAATCAGTAAATCTTTTAAAATTGTAGAACACATCGAAATTCGTCAAGTTTGAAAAAATCTTCTGATGTTTCTTTAGTTATTTCTTAAAATACTGTTAATAGTCCGCTGCTGAATACAGGCCTACCCCATAGATTGCATCATATGGCGGATATTTGCTAACGTTGGCGTACTCGACAGGTGGGTTTTTAGTAGAGTTGGGCCGATTAGCCGCCGACTAATCGCTGAAGCCGATTAATCGGCCTATTTGTAGTCACCGGTTAGTCGGCGATTAATCCGATAAATTAGCCGATAACGGCTAAAACGGCCGATAATCGGCTTCGCTTTTTATTTTATTAATTTCAGCAAAGGTTTTTCATGATTTTCTGCGTGGTAACTGCGGCTACATTATAAGGAGTAAAGCTTTAAATTTAAGAAAAGTATAGTTTCTCTCCCAAGCGTAAACTCACGTTAGATTTATATATGTAGGTAAATCAAATAAATAATAAAATAAGTAGGTTCATACATAGCTTTTATTGAAAAATCAGTCTCCCATGTTTTAATGTTAATTATTCTGGACATTGGAATTTTGGTAAAAAAAAAAGAATCTGAGGTAGCTATTTAAAACTAAACAAACACCTAAGTACTTACAATTTTAATTCTACTGTTTAACTTTGTAACTCGTTTGAGTAGTGACACAACAAAATAAAATATTAGTAATATTATTCTTAACAAACTTTTAAAAAGCAAATTTTAAGTCTCTCCCTTTGCATAACAAAAGAAAAACTTAATTCTTGAATAAAGATTGTTAAACTACAGGCATAGAGATTTTTAAAAGACAAATAGAACATACTTGTTTCTGTACTAAAACTAAATTGTTATTGTGTTTGTACTAAAAATTAAATCATATTGTTATTTTTCTGTACTTAAAATGACAATAATTTTTGTTTCCTGTAATGTTATTAATAAAGAATCTATAATCACCTAATAATTTGTTAAAAATAATAAAAATATTTAATTTATTTGTAATTTTTAACCAGTGGCAAATTGTGTTGCAAAAAGGCCAAAATCTCAGCGTTTTCTGATTGAAATCGATTTCTTTTTGTTTCGTAGATACTAGATATTCGCTGCCTCAGAAAAAAGTTTCTCACTATACGCAAAGCTGGCGGGGTAGCAAAGGTAAACTTTGACTAAACGGGACATTTCTGGATATCTTGAAGAATTTTTATTCCACCATTTGAATTTAACATCGGATAGTGATCGGCTGGGCCGATTAATCGGCCATTTCTTAACCGATTAATCGGCTAATCGGTCAATCGGCCAAAGTACTAATCGGCCCAACACTAGTTTTTAGCTTTTTAGCGTAGTTTTTGTTATTTTGAGTTGTTATCGGGAATATGCTGCTGATTTCCTCCGTTTCATTTCTTCGTAATATATGTATATGTACTATAAGAGGCTAGATATAAAACAATTCACTTCTACCTTTACAGAGTCTGGGCATCCTAGGTTCCATACCAGGCGCTTGGCTGATCCTCACACTCACGGTCCTGCTCATATATCTTCTGACGAGATGCTGCGACAGGAAGCAACGCCCTCCAAAAAGTATCACTGCGCTCAAAGTAAGAATTCGTTCAACAATTTCAATCGTCCATTACTATTGTTCTTTCATTAAATAGCTACTGTAGATGCTGAAATACTAAATTGACAGAACAACTGTAACGTTTACGTGGCGACGAAGGAAAATATCGCGAGGAATGTTGAAAAATTAAGCTTTTCTTTTATAAAAGTGAAGTGTCAAACGAACTTTCCACCCGATGATAAGTGGCCACTGCAATCCACAGACATCTGCAGACAACTTCAAAACAAAGGTTGTACATGAGTTGTCGTTTCTGAGAACAAAGATGAAATGCGTGATGCATGTTCGAAGTGAAAACTTCTGTAGGTGCGTTGGGCACTTTTGGGATTTGGAAAAACCACTGAATTCGCGTGACCGTCACACTCAGATGCACAAAATTGATGAACGTAATGTTGAAAATCCAACAGAGAAGTTGCATTAATTTTTTTTATTTTGCCACAAATTTATATACAAATGAAAGAATAATTAATTGAAAGTATATTTAAATATTTTTTTATTAACAAAACCATTTTTATTAATTACTAATAAAAATAGTTAAAACTACTTTTACGGATTTTTCGTCGTTTACTTACAAATCCCGACGGTTTCCAGACCCAGTCCCCCGGATACGCCCACGTCGGGAATTAAAAATAAAAGTAAATAAAAAGCAAAAATAAACGCGATAAAATCCGTAAAAGTAGTTTTAATCATGTATAGTGTTCGCGTAAATATAAGAAATCATTATAAAAATAGTTAATAAATTTTTTTAATGAAATCAAAAACGATAGCACTCGCCGGGATACAAAATGGATGAAAGTAATGGTGAAAATCCAATAGAGAAGTTGCATTATTTTTTTATTTTGCCACAAATTTATGTATAAACGAAAGAATAATTAATTAAAAATATATTTAAATATTTTTTTATTAATAAAACCATTTTTAGTAATTATTAACAAAAAAGAGTTAATTAAATTTTTTAATGACAAAAAAAACGGTAGCACACGGCGGGTATCCGCTAATTTAATATATTGAACAGCCATTGAATATATATCCCATACTATATACGAATATTTGGATACTTCCTCCACGGTAACAGTAATCACTAATCACCTTTTCCATGTCCAAAGTAAGTATAATCTGCATTTCTGCTAACCGTTCCCTGAGAACAAAACATCAGTAGTTTTAATCTTATCATCGAGATTTTAATTATTTTTTAACATTTATAAATTGTTTACAGCTGCAACTTTAAGCATCATTAGATGCTGTAGTATAAATTATTTATGTCGGTCCATCTATTTAAATAAACTGTGAATATAATCAAATCATTTCTCACGGCGCGTCGAATGATGTAATGAACACGTGTGTAGACTAGGGCGACTAATCGTTTGTTTTTTATAGGACATTCGGAACTTTGAACGAAGATAAGAAAAACTGTACTACCGGTTTTATTGTTTGTTTATTATAAATCTGAATTTTTTGTGTAAACTTATAGCGATTTAAAGTGATAAAGTGACCGCAATAGTGAAATAAAAAATAAAAAATTATAAAACTTCATCGTTGTGTAGATATTTGGTTAAGAAAAGTTGTGCAAATCAAACGCATAATAATTATGCTTTTGAATTAATTAGTAATTCATTGCATAATATAATTCTATTATTATTCATTACTCTTAACCACCATTCGTTTGATTTACCGGAAATCCTATTTGATTGAAAACTATTGTTTCTGGTAACTGATATTTTTGGCTAGGTTCTGTTATTCTGTTTATTCTTTAAAAGTCAATTTACTTTACCAGCATTTCGTTTTGTCCACATTTACAAAGAGCCGTGGTAGCTCAGATGGTTAACGCTCGCAGTAAATTTCACAGTATGCGAGCAAACCGGGTTCGATCCCCGCCGGCACCAATGAAATTGTTAATTGCAATGTTAAGTGCTGATTTACCACGTGCTCGGCGGTGAAGTAAAACATCGCAAGGAAAGAAAGGCATGTCTGAGAATAAGAAAAGAATTTCGATGACATGTGAAGTTCGCCAACACGCTTTGGGGCGTATACTTCCTTGCCCTAAATCCCTCTCAGAATTGAGAGGAGGCTTATGCCCATCAGTAGGACGTATAACATGTAACATAATTAACGCACATCCTGGAAGTAGTTTGTTCAGAATCGTTTACTGAATCGATTCCTATCATTTTTAATATAGGTAATTTTTTATCCCAAAAATAATTAAAACTAAGTACATAAATTACTGTCACCCGAAATCTGTACAGTCAAAACAAACTGAAAAGGACCGTAACTTAAGGCAATAAGACTTAAGAGTGCAGTTTTATTTGTATTATTACTAATTCTGTCATTCAATAAAAATAAAGAAAAATGAACTTTATTTCAAGAACGTTAAAGTCTTTGCGTTCGTGGATTTGTACTGTGACCACAACATTCTTCCGGAATTAGTATAACTAATTTCATAAATAATGAGTGCATAAAAATGTTTAACTAAAAATTCAGTGTATGTATTATGATTATAACATAATATACTAATTGGGGTGTCTGAGGGTGTGTGTTAATTACGTTACATATGGTAACTTTAAACTTTAACATTTACAAAGTCTACGAAACGAGATTGAAAGATGGAATATCATTTACCGCCTACTTCAAATATACTATATGCCTTCAATTGAACTATGAACTTAAAACAAGTACGTAAAATATAATAATATGATAGTTTTATTTGACGCTAATTGAATTGTTCCGCAAATGTACGCACATGGTGTCCCTAGCCATGAGCACCATTTATAGTGTGCGAGTGCGACCCGTTGAACCGTTTCATATTTTGTTTTTAATATCCAGCAGACTGTGTCAGTGAACTTTATTGTTACATGTAAGGTCACAGACACTGTTGTTTTATTTTATGGAACGTGCAAGAATGCTAATACAATTATAATAACACACCAAAATATATATTATTCAGGTATCAGAACACTACACGGTCGTTAAGGAGTATGTTAGGGCTGAAGCTGAGTGACAGGGTGAGAAATTGTGGACGGAACGGACGGAAGTAACGTCCTAGGCGAAAGTTTATTGACCAAAATGGCGATATATTGAAAATGGGCCAAATTAAGAGTACTCTTAACCGACGAGCGTGTTATGCGTAGGTATATGGATGTGGTGGAGGTGAGAAAGGTGTGTCAGGATCGTACCAAATGGAAGTCTGTAGTCTCTGCCTACCCCTCTGGATGACAGGCGTGAGTGTTTTTGTTTTTATCTATGTATTTTTTGCTTTTTTTAAATACAAATTCTTGACTGCGTTACTGGCGAGACGGAGTGTTTTCCACCTCATCGGAGTAAAATGTTTTCCTTATAAAAAGCTATCCGAATTCCGAAAATAGGGAAATCACTAAGAACAAGGTCTGTCGAGTACGTACGCAAGGATGGTGAAGACAATTCTATCGAAACTGTTATTATATAAGTTTGAAACGGTTCGTTGCGTAGTGCGTGGATGAGATTTGTCGTGTAGAGTTATGGACCAGAACAATTAATAAGTCTCGATTGTTTAAGACGATATAGTAAGTCAGCTCAAATTCTAATTTCGCCCACTTCCCCGCGCGTCGCATGCTATGTACCGACATGTTTGTAATCACTAATACTGTAAGTAGATAGGTCGTTAGATACTTATTTCATTAGGTTTATCATATTTATGCCTGTTTCTTAACGCCAACCTAGTCGCTTCTTATTTTTATTACGGTTATTTCCCATTTTAATTTTACGTCGTCCTGTTGCTTAATGTGTATTCTGATCGTAAGCGACACAACCTCCCCCTTCAAAGGCCGAAGCGAAACTGACCGGGCGGCAGGAACAGGAATCAAGCTTCAAGAAGCCGATAGTTTAGGTAATTTCTTTTTACAGTGAAAATAATGGTATTTAAAAAAAGTAAATAACATAAGCACTGCTTTATAGATGGAATGTAATGGAATGGATTAGCAAGATCCTTCGTTATGCCGAAAATATTGGAGCATTAATTTTGAAATAAATATATGGTAAAGTTGAGGATTAATGTTAAGGATTATGTTAGATGAAAACACGATTTCGTAAAATTTTCTCGATAGAAAAAATCCAAAGTTACCTCCAAAATAACCACAAACCGCTGTTATTCATAAAAACTTTAAATAAGATCATGAAACTTTGCATACTAACAACTGAACTAACTATAAAGCAGTGCTTATGTTATTTACTTTTTTTAAATACCATTATTTTCACTGTAAAAAGAAATTACCTAAACTATCGGCCTCTTGAAGCGTGATTCCTGCCGCACGGTCACTTCCATAGAGTAGAGTAATATATACAGAAATAGAGAGCCATCTCCTAGGATTTTTTGTCACCTAATATGAATAGTGTCGACGTCTGGTATCATATCCCTTGAACTAATCTCAATATCATGTTGACTATAGATAGCTGTATGTAGTTATGTATATACAGCTATCTATACTATAGGCGGTTATATTTATATTTTAAGGGATTAGGGTTCAATTAAAGACGTATTATAGATGTCAGTAATATAACATTTATTTTTGTTATATATATTTAACATACACGACGTAAAAGCCTCTATTCCGCAAAATACAACACCAAATCAAATTAAATATGTCCACCGGGTTACCGGAATGATAAATGAAAGCGTCTATTTCTCACAACACTACACAAACATACAATGTGGTTCCAGCATGAAAATCTAAACAGACAACAAAGAAACAGAGGGCTAATCCCAACTCAACCAAACTTATTGTAGCAACAGCCGAAAATCACTTATAAACTATAATAAAACAACAACTTGCTCAGACGCCGGTAGCCATTATGTCATATAAAGTTGCTACTTGCCAGTTCGAGAATAACCAGAATTGGTTTAATCGCCATCTAGCGCACCTTTTAGAATTTAATGTTCGAAAGTTTATGCGGATATAATACAAGATGGCACTAGTGTCTGCAAATTATTGAACCCCAACCTAAAGTATGGAAGTGTACCGTGTACCCTGGTCACTTCGCTTAGGCCTTTAAATGGGGAGGTTGTGTCGCTTACGATCTGAATATACATTACGCAACAGGACGACGTAAAATTAAAATGGGAAATAACCGTAATAAAAAGAGGAAGCGACTGGCTTGGCGTTAAGAAACAGGCATAAATATGATAAACCTAATGAAATAAGTGTCTAACGACCTTTCTACTTACAGTATTAGTGATTACAAACATGTCGGTACATAGCATACGACGCGCGGGCAAGTGGGGACGAAATTAGAATTTGAGCTGACTTACCCTATCCCCTTAAGTATGTAAACTGCCTCCACGTTACTGTATAAATTCCTAGTGTGGTGATATCGGTTTTTTTTAAGAAAATGATAAGCAACGCAGCAGCTTCACTACTTTTACACCCTCACGACTCAGGCATGCCTAGTGTGAAGACCACAGAACTATACACCCTTGTTTATATACTCCAGCCAAAGAATATATGCACTTGCTCCAGCTTAGTTGGTGTGATAAGATTTTGTTTATAATTATATACTAGAGAATTAAGACTACTGTACTTCCATTTTATTATCTTATATTGTATATTATAATCTGTACCACCTTAGCTGTAAATAAACATTTTAATTTATTGACGACTCCGTGGCGTAGTGGTTTAGCAATGAGTGTCTGAGCTGGGAGTCGCGGGTTCGAATCTCGCACAGAACAAGTATTTGTAAGGCCTACAAGTAATCGTTCCGGGTCTGGATGTTTGTCCTTGTGCAATTTATGTTTGTCAACTGCCCCCACGATACAGGAGAAAATCCTAGTGTATGGGGTAACGTTTTTATTAAAAAAAATTCAATACACACAGTTTCAAGTACATGCTTTCTTTTTGTTACTAAGAGTTACCTAACATCTATACTATATACAGCATATACGGAATTGTCAGTAAGGTCGAATCATTCAGAAATAGTGAACAGTACTTGACCCTTTGCAACGGTGTTCTAAATACATTAATCAGCGTTGCAACATATTCTCTCGTCTTACATAAATCACTTAGTCTCATTTTTGTTCAAGTGGTCGACTGATTCTAACATAGCATAGCGATGTTCCGGGATGTATTCAATACCAAGTCGCCTGAATTTAAGGATTCTGTATCTATGGGGGGGGGGGGGACACGGTGGCTTATCTCTAGCGCCCAGAAATATTTTAAATAATTTCCTAAAAATATTACTAAATCACTAATTAACACCTAAAACGGAGCTTAAATTAAATTACACTTAATTCTTGCGTTTTTAAGTTTCATCTGTCCAAATTCGTAAAATTATTACATTCTTTAAGGGGAAATACAACCTCAAATGGCAAATGGCAGCATTAATTTTGAAATAAATATGTGGTAAAGTTGAGGATTAATGTTAAGGACTATGTTAGACGAAAACACGATTTCGTAAAATTTTCTCGATATAAAAAAAATCCAAAGTTACCTCAAAACTGAACATTAAACCGCTGTTATTCATAAAATACTTTAAATAAGATTACGAAACTTTGTATACTAACTGAACTAACTATAAAGCAGTTCTTATGTTATTTACTTTTTTAAAATACCATTATTTTCACTGTAAAAAGAAATTACCTAAACTATCGGCGTCTTGAAGCTTGATTCCTGTCGCCCCGTTAGTATCGCTTCGCTTAGGCTTTTGAAGGGAGAAGTTGTGTCGCTTACGATCAGAATACACATTACGCAACAGGACGACGTAAAATTAAAATGGGAAATAACCGTGATAAAAATAAGAAGCGGCTGGCTTGGCGTTAAGAAACAGGCATAAATATGATAAACCTAATGAAATAAGTATCTAACGACCTATCTACTTACAGTATTAGTGATTACAAACATGTCGGTACATAGGATACGACGCGCGGGGAAGTGGGGGCGAAATTAGAATTTGAGCTGACTTACTATATCCCCTTAATTCAAAACCACATAAAAACGGGCACCACGATTCACACAGATTATTATAGCGGAACATGGATACACCCACAAAAAAGTCAAACGTTCGGACCCTAACAATCCTAAAATCTAAATCTTAAAATCATGTGCCTCAAAGTGATCAACAGGACAATGGCTGCCACAGTGCCACACTTGTAGCCATGTTCTCTTCCTAGCTGCTCAGATTCGCAATGATATATTATTGTATTAAAAATGTCTACTACTATGTTACTCGTTTTTTTTTCGATCGTCGTTTTGATTGATACAGAGGTGTTTGGTTCATATACTCGAAAGTTAGTCAACAAAATTTTTGTAGAAACTTAATTGCAAGACAGGTTTCATTTTTATCGTTGATAATACATATAAAAATTCTAACAATAATTAAAATATATTTATGTATGTACCACGTTATATAATATATATATATATATATATATATATATATATATATATATATATATATATATATATATATATATAGAATAGAATAAATATATATATATATAGACCCTAACAATCCTAAAATCTAAATCTTAAAATCATGTGCCTCAAAGTGATCAACAGGACAATGGCTGCCACAGTGCCACACTTGTAGCCATGTTCTCTTCCTAGCTGCTCAGATTCTCAATGATATATTATTGTATTAAAAATGTCTACTACTATGTTACTCGTTTTTTTTTCGATCGTTGTGTATAATTGATACAGAGATGTTTGGTTCATATACTCGAAAGTTAGTCAACGAAATTTTTGTAGAAACTTAATTGCAAGCCAGGTTTCATTTTACAATCGTTACAATACATATAAAAATTCTAACAATAATTAAAATATATTTATGTATGTACCACGTTATATAATATATATATATATATATATATATATATATATATATATATATATAAAAAAAATATATATATATATATATATATATATATATATATATATATAATGTGATGCTTACCAGATTATTTCCTTATAAGAGCATATTATTATCTCGTTTTATGAATATTACTGTTTTATGCGCTACAGGTTTTGCAGGGCATTAAGGTTTTACTAGCGAAAAACTCCTTATTGTTTAATTTTTGGATAAAAAATAAGGAATGTAGTAGTAGATATTAAAAATTTTGAATAACTTATTTTATTTTAATCATGATTAAATATGTAAAGAAAGAAGTAATTTAAATAACATTAAATTTTTACTGTCCGATTTTTAATCACAATATAGTATGACAATAGATAGCAATGAACTATATATTGTACACAGAGCACAGAATGTGTTGAACTAGTGAATCAGATAAAAGCAAAAAAGCTGACTTTGAATTTTAGATCGTCTAAAATATTTAAAAAAAAAAACCTTTTCGTAAATATCTTTATCATTTCGCAAAAGTCAATGCTCTACATAAACCTCTCCAGTTGCAAGGAGGCCGTGTCTTATAGCCATGCTTGAAAGGCAGGTTAGCGATCTATGTAGATATCTTTTTATTTCGTGCCGTGGGTGAAGGACATAAAAGTCGTCAGAATAAAATTGCAACACCAAAATGAAACCAGATGGAATACAGCGTGTTATCTAAGAAGCGACGCGTCCGATACGACATATTATGTATATATATATATAAAAAAAAAAAAAAATTTTAAAAGAATATTAACAATGCTATAAACATTACTAATATTTCCCTTAACCACTCGTGGTAAGCTTAAATTGCTTGTGTTACGAGTGGTTCACGCCAGTTGTCGAATCAGATCTTTCCAAATCCACTGATGGATATGTCTTTTTAAACTAAAGTAACCTTACAAGATTTGCTCGTATTTACCAAGCGCAGAGCGTGTAGCTTCGTATGTTATGCTGCTCCCCGTTGCTAGTCTGTGGAATATTTTTATCAGTTTATTTTTTTAAATAGATTTTTGGCCGTTTATAGGTAGTTACAAATTAGAACCAATGTAGCTTTCACGCGTAACAGTAACATTTTGAGAAAAGGTTTATACATTACCTTTATACTTACAATATTTGATATATGGCGGCTCTACAAAACCGTTAATAGTATTATCAAATTAATTTAAAATCTCTTTTAGTCTAGTAATGTCGATAATCGATTGAGAAAAAAAAAGCAATAGACTATGAAAATAGTAGATCACAAGGCCTTTTGGCTAGCTTAAAATGTTACTCACTTTGTAATACATCGCGTCGTACATGCTATATTGATTTTATAAACCGTACCTACAACTTTCACCCAAATCTTTTTCATAAAACTCAATATACGCAGCATGCTCTAAAATTACTAAGTTAGTTGTAAAGTTACTACAGATCCTAAAACATACGACGCAATGTAACTCAAAGTGACTATCATTTTGTTGTCAATAAAGTTAGCGAATAGGTTACTAGATATTTTATGTCTTTTCAACCGACGAAAAAGCGGAGGAGGTACCCAAGTCGACGCGTATATATATTTTTAACTTCCCGCTAAGAAAATTGAAAATTTTCAAAAATAGGGAAGGTATTGGTTTCATCCCGATTTTCGAAAATCGAGTTTTCATCAGATCTCGACGTTATGAGATCACAGGAAGCTGTTCTGACTAAGTTTAAAGTTTTTAAAAAGTTTTTTTAGTTTAAATTATAATTTCTGAAAAAATAAATTGTGTTTTACACGTGTAGTGACGGTTTAAGATTATCCACTAGCCCACATCGTCCGATGGGTGGAGTGAAACTGACACAGGAGATGGGCAGCGGCATTTTCCTGATAACAACTCAAAATAATAAAAACTGCGGGTGGCATCTCGCTTACAAGGGTGGCAACTATAGCAAAATCTCCCCTATGAGACAATTTATGGGGGAGACCTGTGTTCAACAGTGTACTTTTATAGGTCGTAATAAAATAATGAAAATTGTGTGTCCGAACGGCTAGCATACCAGTCTAAGCTTTTCGTTTACCTCCACTTGTGACTGACAAGGATGATTTTTTTTTCAGATAACCCTGATGATACTGTCGGTGCTGTGTTGCGGCGCGATAGGCGTCGGTCTATTCGGCAACGACGACCTGCACAACGCGATGCTGCAGAGCATCCAGGCGGGCAACCAGCTCGCCAGCCTCGTCAACACTGTTAAGAACCAGGTATGCATTTTCATCTTAAAATTTATTTAAACTTCTTGCAAAAAATGTACAAAGGCCAACTCAACGCCTTAAGGCGTTACCAGTCAACCTATGTAAATTCATACGAGGGAAGGTCAAAAAGTTCGCGGGTTGGCGGGTGTGAGTTTACTCATGCAGGTAGGCGCTAGTTGAGTGACTCATTGTCAGTATTAGTTGCCGGAACGAGTCGTGAGCACAGATGAACTGTAGTGGGGGTTAAGCCAGCGTAGGTACACTGTCGGGCAAAATTATTTGGTACCTTTATTATTTCAATTCGTAACTGAATAATTTCACCGACTTTTTTTCGAAATTCTCAGCCCTTAACTCCTTTAACTATGCACCGTACAGTAGCTACTGAGACATAAGTCGCCTCAGCAGTCTGTTTGTAAACTATCATGTTTTACGCAAGACCTAATTTTTTCATGTAAAAATACACTGAATGGACCATTTGTTGATTGTCTATTTAACAACGAATTCTTTCTTCTCTGCATATTCATACCAAAATCTGAATAATCAAATTATAACAAGAAAAATAATTAACAACAAGAAATAACAAAAACAAATAGTAACAAGAAATACACAAATAACAATTAACAACGAGGTAAAAAAAATAATTAACAAAAATAAATTAATTAAAAAGTTGTCACTAAAAATGCTCTCAAGTGTACGGTAGCCGAATGATACGTGCGAACCCAATAGACGACGAACATCAACAGACGAACCAATCACGTGGAGCGTCAACGTGGTCAATGTCATATCGACCAATAAAAAGTGTGCTCACGACTCGTGCTGGCAATTATATATATATACGAAGTTTCAGCCAAATCGTGTCATTAGCTTTTGAGTTATCAACGAGTAAACAAGTTAATTGGGAAGAAACTAGTCACTATGGAGAAAATTTAAAATTTAATGACGACGATGAAGTGAAGTCGGCAATTTCGGCCCATTTTGACGCCCAAGACAAATCTTTTTTTTTAGACGGTATTAATAAGTTATTTGTCAGATCTAATAAATGTATTAAGGTTAAGAGAGAGTACATTGAAAATTTGAAAAGGAAAAATAGTTTCATTTTATTATCCTTCCATGTTATTCCGCGAACTTTTTTACCTCCCCTCGTATAACTGTGAGAAATGAGCCTCTTCTGTGGTAAAGCGTAATATTTCCTATTTATGTGGTGATTTCAGCAACAGTCGTCTTGTACCTTCGAAGGTGCTCCTTGTCGCCGGTGTTGTAACGTCACGCATCCGCGAGATGTTAATACAGCCGTTTATGCAAGCCACAAGATTTTTGAGGCCTCATTTTCCAACTCATTTGTACGTGGTAGGGCTATTCCGCAGCTATATTATGGTTGTATTACGAATGCTATACTAAAAATAATGCTGCTATGTTTCGTATGGTTAGTGAAGGAAATCGGGGACCCTTTTTATTGAATACGAGGCAATACATCTTAGTCCTCAGGGGTGATAACGCATCTGCATTAAGATCTTAACGAGAATAAATGTAGATGTTTATAGGCCACAGTATTAATTTCATTCACTCATTCATTATCAATTATTCTATATAAAAAACGCAAATGACACTATGGAGAGGCCACGAAATATGGAAAACGTTATATAATAAGTTATATTTATATATAGGTGTATTTTTTTAAATTGTAAATTTACAACTCCCGCGTTCTGGATTCAAATTTCAGTGGCGCCCAACATAATGTACATATAAATAAATTATTAGTTTTTGAAGGTTTTATCTATCGTCAGTAGCTAGCTTTAATATTGCATTCCGTTTCCAACATATTATTCAAAAGTGCTTTTTAAAATAAGTACTGTTGTCTCGGACGCATTCTCATAAGCGGCATCTTCCGGTTGTTCTGATGCTTAAAAATGCTTTTTTAGTTTGGCAAATCAAGAGTACCTTTAGGACTTATCGAACAACAAACTATTTCCCAGTTTATTGTGCATTAAATCTAGAAGTAATTTTAAAATAAGTGAAGAAAATTAAGAAGTTGATTAAGTATGTTATTATGTTGACCGACCGAAAATAGTAGTCATAATATAACAGTCATGTTTCATATGGCTGTAAGATTTGAAGATTATATTTATTGACGCGACAAATTTCATCATTTCTTTTGTTATGGTTTGATTATATAGTCCCTTTCTTGTATAAATAAATAAATATTTATCGTATCTCATATACAGTGAGTACATAACATGTCATATGTTAGGTCACGTGTCATTCACGTGACTAGGATTGATTTTAATTCATTTTTATAGTTTTTCTTATGTTTTAGAAAAACGTGGCAGTTTACAAACATTATTGCACAAGGACTAGTAAAAAATATTTGTAAGCCATACAAAATACATGTTCCTTGCGGGATTGGAATTAGGATAGCTTTTTATAGAGATTACAGCGCTACAAGTTATTGATAGGCCGCTGTGCCACGGAGCCGTCAAAGTTCTATGACGTCCGTCTCGTTTCTGTGATGTTAGTGCTGTTAGCCTTTTCGCTTTTACAGCTTCATCTGACTCAGCTTTATTTGACTCACATTCATTGGAACTATAAGCGTTAACTTAAAATGTCATTTTGGCTAATCCCGCAGCAGTAAACTGCGATAAGTGAGTGGAAGTGATAGAAACAGTTACAATTTTTGGAAGGGAATAGACAGTGTATCTGTGCTTGCGCATGCACTTTGGTATTATAATTTTGTACTGCGCCGATGCCTAATCTCCGGTTAGACTGGTCGCCGTCTGGTATACCTTATTATTGATTAATTGTAATAATATGAAAACACGTTCGTTTTAACTTTCAGTCGAGCATCCTAGAGGAAGCGATGGGTTCACGTGCGCGAGCGCCCTTAGCTCGACTCGCGGACGCTCTGGACGCGCCCGTGGCCAACCAGACGGCCCTCGGCACTTTGCTGCGGGCGCTCTCCGCGCTGCGCAATAACGCCAGCGCCGCCGCCTCTGCTGCGGACAACCTGAAGCGTCCGCTCGCCGCTCTCAACTTAGATGCAGTCATGAAGGTATGTGCGTTTGCACTCCATTAAACTGCGAGTGATTATATAAAAATAAGAATGATTTAAGCGTTTGTGGCTGGTTATGACGCCTGAGATGCGGGACGTGGGAGCTTAGTCCTCGAAAATCTCGAAATGTACTACTTATATATTGTATACGTAGTACATTTGGCTGCGTGTACGCGCATACGAACGCGCAATTCTGCACTGCATTAGTATTTGTACGTACTGTAAGTAATTTTATAAACTTGCGGATGGTAAAGCCACGCTCTCCTCTCACACGACTAGACCGGCTTGACTGAGCAAGCACCATGTATGCACATTATACGAGTAGCTGCATATAATGCTGCTATATTTCGCATACTAATGATAAGAATAGGTATAACAAAAATACGTAAACATTTCTGACCTACCTACTTACTATCTGGCTCTAACTAGTTTTGTTTTTCTTATTCTTCTTAAGTGCACTTCTAACCTTTTTGTGGTTTTTATGGTTAAAAAAAATTTCCTGTTGTTTATATAGTACTACAAATATACCTTCGGTGTATAAAAAATAAAAATACGATTTCATCTAAAAATCAGATGTTTTCAATATTAATAGAAAAAGGGTCGCATTATTATTATGATTAAAAGCGTAGTTATATATTCTTTAGGCAAGGGATCAATATCAATATTATCATCTAGAGTAGTAACAGGATCGACAACATATACCTATATGCTCAGTTTCTTGTGAAGTAATGGCAATCGCATGTGCAACTGTTTCTGACCTAGATTTGGCATTTAGTTTTGATAGTAAACATCTTTGTGGTTTTTCTGTATACCGATTTTGACAAGCAAACTTGTGAGGCAAAACATCTTTTTTAAGTTTGAGGGGACCACGAACTAGTTTTGTACTTCACGTAATTTTCCACATCGTTTTCGACCTAGAACGAAATACAAACAATTATTTAAAGTCTATAAAAAAATAAGGAACCTCGTAATTTGTATTCCATCAATATTTAAAATATGTACCAACTATGTTATACATAAAAATAGGACAACACGAAAAAAATTTAAGTGCTCCACTTCATAATCAAACTTCTTCCATTATTTGCGGCCAGCAAAGTATGCAGGTTGAACATCTCTGCGATGTGTTTAGTTTTTGCTCGAAATATCGTAAAAATATAAAAAAGTTTGTTAACATATTCCATATTTTAACCTTTATATGCATTATAAATATTTTAAAATTTGTTGCAAACATAGATAGGTATCTAAACTTACAAACTCACGACAGGTCATTGACTTATCTACATTACATAGGTAAGTACTTTACCCAAGTTTGGATGTTTATTTACACTGAAGTAGTTTTAGTTAAATATGTAGGTATTAGGTATTGTTTCTTCTTGAAATTGTAATGATCATTAAGCGTGGAAAGGTTCAATGATTCAATGAATCGTTAGTTACTTAAACACTGCGACTCGAGTAGGTACATGCCTAATAGAAAGCATTTACTAGCAATAACCAAGAGCTATCATGTGAAGGTTATTATTATTTGAATACTTACATCCAAATTATTCTCACAACAATATGCTACCGTTTCTGGTCCTAAAGGATGTGCTCTTCTCATAGCATTTGTCCATTTTTTTCTGATGGTAGGGTTTCTAGGCACATTAAAAAACAACTTTTCAGGTGTTTTTGTGGCCGTATTTTGACATTGAGGCACAGCACAATATTTAATAGATGGTGTCATGTTCTATAATGTTTCTTGTTAAAAATAGATAGCAAGTAGATCCGCGTGCGACGGGCACATTTGAGTAAATGTTTTGATTTTCTAAGTGCGCGTCAGGTCGCTCGCACGTAGATGGAAATCGTGACGTCATCAACGATGTCGCGCTTGGCCCGCGGCTTAGACCGAAAAGTTAACTTTGCGTCTTTATATCTCGGTCAGTTTTGAAGATAGAAAAAAGTTAAAAATACAGTTATTCTCGTAATTTTTTGTAGAATTTTTTTGGCATATAAAACAAAAAATGTTTATCTTCTCCATTGACAGATTATGTCACAAGTAATCTTGACAATGGTATGCACTCAATTGGGATCTTTTTAGACCTTGCCAAAGCATTTGATACTATCTCTTGCCCTATAGTATTGCAAAAAACTTGAAACACTTGGCATAAGGGGAACTCAACTACAACTTTTTACTGATTACCTTAGTGATCGCTCTCAATATGTAAAAATCGGCGAGCTCAGTGCTCAGAGAGCTTTTTTAATTATTATAACAGTTCTTACGTTATCTCACAGGGCAGTATCCTGGGGCCCACATTGTTCCTAATTTATATAAATGACTTATGTAATCTCCAACTTCAAAATGGTGTCATAATGTCGTATGCGGATGACACAGCCCTGTTGTTCTCAGCTAAATCACGTGATGAAGTTTGTAAATACGCTCAGTAAGACTTTAACGTAGTATCTAATTGGCTTCGTAACAATCTCCTAAATTTAAAGGCAGATAAAACACAATATATGTTATTTTTAATGAGAAACAATAACATACCTACTCACCTAAATATTTACTCTCATAACTGTAGCTCGTATGATGACACTGCATGTGCGTGTCCTATATTAACAAAAACAGACAATATAAAATATCTAGGTATCACACTTGACACAAATTTAAATTTCCGCAAGCACATCGATTTGCTTTGTGCTAGAGTTCGTAAATTAATATATATTTTTAAATATCTCCGTAACATCGCTCACTTAAATTGATAAGACAGGTCTATTTAGCTCTGTGTCAATCCATACTCACTTATGGCATTACTTCCTAGGGTGGTGCTTCTAAACCAATATTGCTTACATTAGAACGTGCTCAGATAACTATTTTAAAGGTAGCCACTTTCCGTCCATTTATCTTTATTTGGCATGTAGTGTGCTAACTGTCCCTCAGTTGTTTATCCTCGATATCATATTAAAACAGCACACCGAACTTCCATTTTACTTAAAACCCATAGACAGGAGAAGGATGGACTTAGTTTGTGTAAACCCTCAAACCAAACACGCATTTGTGAACAGATTTTACATATTTTTTTTTCCTTGAAATTGTGCTCGAGGTTGATAAAATTGATTTAAACGATAATGTATTTGTAGTATTGAACTGGTATGTTATTTGTATCTTTCAAAATAAAAACAAAGACGTGTTTTAAGTGTGCGTGTACGTGTGCAGCGCGCGTGGGTGGGGGAGGCGGCGCGCTGGGCGGGTGGTATGGCGGGCTGGTGCTGCGGCGGCGCCGTGTGCGTCGCGCTGCTGGCCGCCGCCGCGCGTCGTTCGCGCCGCGCCCTGCTGCTGCTCTGCGTGAGTCACACATACGCACGCACGCACACACACTAACACATCACTTCACATATTTACACATCATCCAAAGTCTTTTATATCGCTAGACGGGCTCTACGGTACTAATATATTGAAGCAAGGAATTTTTTATTCCTAATTTCTATTAAATTCCTAGAAACATTTATTTGACCAACGCACAACAATAACTTACATAGAAAGACATGAGCGTAACATATACCCTTTTCCTTTTTTCCATGTAATTGTAGAGCTTGCAATAAGAACGATAAAATGACCGTTGATAATATAATTGTAGTAATGTGTACGTACTAGAAGAGACGACAAGATTTGGTCGTTTGCAGCACGCGTTAGAAGGGTACTTTCTCTTAGGTCTCTTTCCACGCGACACGAAATGCCGCTCAGGTTTTGTTCGTGGTGTCTGTTCTAGTACGTAGTGCATATTACTTCAATGTGATAATATTATGTTTGTGATTTGTGGGCAGGTATGTGCGCTGGGTGCGCTGGTGGCGTGCTGGTCGGCGAGCGCTGTGCTCACTGCTGGCGCGGTGGCTTCGGCCGACGCGTGCCAGGAGCCCGCGCGCGCCGTGGCGCACCACGCGCCGCACCACCTGCCTGTCGATGTGAGTACACCTCGCAGTCGCACTGTACTGTACTGAACTGCACTGCACTGTACAGTGTGCAGCGCCGCCGACACGAGTCAGGTGCCCGCGCGCGCCGCACCACACTGCCTGTCGATGTGAGTAGACCTCGCAGTCGCACTATACTGTACTGAACTGCACCGCAATGTACGGTGTGCAGCGCTGCCGACACGTGTCAGGTGCCCGCGCGCGCCGCACCACCTGCCTGTCGATGTGAGTACACCTCGCAGTCGCACTGCACTGTACAGTGTGCAGCGTCACCGACACGTGTCAGGTGCCCGCGCGCGCCGCACCACTTGCCTGTCGATGTGAGTACACCTCGTAGCCGCACTGTACTGTACTGAACTGCACTGCACTGTACAGTGTGTAGCGCCGCCGACACATGCCAGGTGCCCGCGCGCGCCGCAACACACTGCCTGTCGATGTGAGTCCACCTCGCAGCCGCACTGTACTGTACTGAACTGCACTGCACTGTACAGTGTGCAGCGCCGCCGACACGTGTTAGGTGCCCGCGCGCGCCGCACCACACTGCCTGTCGATGTGAGTACACCTCGTAGCCGCACTGTACTGTACTGCAGTGCACTGCACTGTACAGTGTGCAGCGCCGCCGACACGTGTCAGGTGCCCGCGCGCGCCGCACCACACTGCCTGTCGATGTGAGTACACCTCGCAGTCGCACTGTACTGTACTGCAGAGCACTGCACTGTACAGTGTGCAGCGCCGCCGACACGTGCCAGGTGCCCGCGCGCGCCGCACCACCTTGCCTGTCGATGTGAGTACACCTCGTAGCCGCACTGTACTGTACTGCAGTGCACTGCACTGTACAGTGTGCAGCGCTGCCGACGCATGCCAGAAGCCCGCGTGCGCCGTGGCGCACCACGCGCCGCAACATCTGCCTGTCGATGTAAGTACATCTCGCAGCCGCACTGTATTGTACTGCATTACACTGCACTGTACAGTGCGCAGCGCCGCTGAAGTGTGTCAGGTGCCCGCGCGCCGTCGCGCACCACGCTCCGCACCACCTGCCTGTCGATGTATGTACATCTCGCAGCCGCACTATACTGTGCTGCAGTGCACTGCACTGTACAGTGTGCAGCGCTGCCGACGCGAGCCCAGGAGCCCGCGCGCGTCATGGAGCACCACGCACCACACCACCTGCCCGTTGATGTGAGTACACCTCGCAGCTGTACTGTGTTGTACTGTACAGTACTGAACTGTACAGTACAATTGCTCAGCCATTCTACAGCATGCAGTCAATGCGTTCAAAAGGAAGGATAGGCCCATCTAAATATTTTATTCATAACTTTTTCGTACAAGAAAAAGTAGCGCATCTGACATAATACAAACGTCATATCAAAACACGATGTAACCAGGGTCGGATTTCGTAGTATAATTATCATAATTGTACCATTATTTCATAGTTTGTAGTGTCGTAATAATACTAAGCGAAAATACCATAATTTTACCCAAAGGTCGACTTGTATTATTATTGGGTTCTTTCCTTTTACATTTTAAATAATAACCCTACGATATCGAGAACTTTTGTATTGTACAGCGAGTTACGCGTTTTTTTTTTTAATAAAATTAGAATTAGCACCCTTTCTGGTCAATAGATGCTCGATCGATGCATTTATGTTGCATCCTTGATACAACTATGATGAGGGGCTACCACGATAAAAACTCTATGCTCCAGAAGCAATCGGTTTAAAAACAGAATTTCAAAATATTTTATGAAACTTATTTTCAGATTCAATTAAGCAGATATGGTTTCTTTTGTATTCTTTTCGTTTACCCTTACTGACTAATTAAACTAACTATAAAATAAAACTTTAAAAATGCGTTTATATAATAATTTCATTGTAACAAAATTAATATAAGGTTATTTACCGATGATACGATATCCCATGTTTTTTTATAATCTTTGTATTTTAATTTTTGCATTCTTTTCCCATTTAACTAGACATATTTATGACAGGAAAATCTGTCCTGCACGCGCACTACTGTCGACCGATTCGCGTTGGCCCTAAACTGTAATTTTAGGGCCAGCGCACTGGTCCGTTTTAGTTCTTCGGTCGGCCCGGTCCTTACGCTAGTAATATATAAGTCAATGCCTGCATAAGCCAGGACAATCATGTTTGTTGATGAATGGCAGAAGTAGACCCACACTCACGGTGCTACTTAGTAGGTGTCAAGTTTATTAATTCATTACCCCTTGAGCACCTTTCATTACACCGTTTGCCCGTTATTTTAAGACACAAGCGCAATATGTGTGCTGTTGCTTGTCGCAATCTATCACCTGGCCATCGTTCTATTTTTTAAACTTTCTTGAAGAACTTTCCCTGTATGATGGAGGCGTTTTATATGAATAAACTTTACATCAACAAGCAAGTAAGATCGCAAGCTTAAATAATAGGGTCCGGTTTTGACATTGTTTTTTAAACACCGTTCGCATTGCGTTCTACAGGACGCACTTTCAATTTATTTTAGTAACTCCAAATAATCAAAATTACTAGGGAAAATGATCTGTGTCAATAATTGTAAAATCGCATATAAGGGCTAAGGAAGGACGAAAGTAAGACAAAATTAACGATAGGTTAATTTCAGATGGTGTACTACTACCTGTCGTGTAAAGTGTCCAGGGAGAACGTACTGACAGCTGAACTGAGGAACGCACAGAGAGCGGTGGTCGCCGTGAGACAGGCGCTGGCCGTCTTGTCTAGGGGCGCACCGCAAATGTTCACTGACCCAGGTAAGCTCCTTAGATGGTGAGTGTATTTACTTCAAATCTATAAAATAAGATAGAGTTGAGATAAAACAACAATAATTTGGAAAAAATGAGGGTATTCCCAATACGTCAAGAACAAAAAAGGACTTTTTGAATTTAAGATTTAGTTCAAAGTAATATAGTGTCGTCTCAACATGTGCAATCACTTCCACCTCCCGTCAATAATCAATGCATCATCAGAACCAACATCAAACGAGGTATAATCAGAAATAGACTCGGCGAGCAATTTGCCGAATCATGACGATCGAACCGGTGTTGGATTTAGTGGTGACGGGAATAGATCACGCAATTGCGAGAGGACCGGGGTATACTCTTCAAATTAAGTATAATTTTTAGGTAAATAATGTTGCGCGCCATATTTAACGCCTGGTACATGGCGGGTTATTATTAGTGCCATCTAGTATCAAGTAGCAGAAATAAGAGCGTCAAGATCTTTCTTGAAAATTCACTAACACCATCTAGAGTAGATCTCGAGTCAGTATTGAATTGGCGATGCAAGCAAAGACTTCGAAGTGATATACCTGCGAACTAAAGTGTTAAGTGTGATTAATTATTAGTGTGTTTTAAGTTTTAATTGGTGTTCGGTACTTAAAGTATCAATTTTGATGATTTAATCAGCAGTTTTTACTGTCAAGAACCCTAAGATTGTAACAATAGTTGAAACATTTTTAACTAAATAATAAAGAAACTAGGGAACCACGGTTTCTAACTGAGGGAGTCCAATAGCTGCGGCGCCATAGTCATCGCAAAATGCGTGGTACGTGTTTAGTAATTGTAAGATGGCGTGTAACGTGAGTGTGAGTGGTGGAGTGTGGGTGGTGGAGTGTGAGTGTTGAAGTTTGAGTGGTGGAGTGTAAGTGGTGGAGCGTGCGTGGTACGTGTATAGTAATTGTAAGATGGCGGGTAACGTTAGTGTTGAGTGGTGGAGTGTGTGTAGCACGTGTTTAGTAATTGAAAGATGGCAGTTACGTGAGTGTGAGTGGTGGAGTGTACGTGGTAAGTGTTTGGTAATTGTAAGATGGCAGGTAATGTGAGTGTAAGTAATAGAGTGTGCGTGGCATCTGTTTAGTAGTTGTAAAATGGCGGATAACGTGAGTGTGAGTGGTGGAATGTGAGTGGTGAAGTGTGCGTGGTACGTGTTTAGTAATTGTAAGAAGGCGGGTAATGTGATTGTGAGTGGTTGAGTGTGTGTTTAGTAATTGTAAGATGGCAGGTAACGTGAGTGTGCGTTCCAAAGCTTTGAAGTATATCAACTAAGCGCGCCTGGTGCGCGCGTCAGCTGTTCCAGTATTTGACCGTTCAACATGGATGTCGGTCGTGTACGAGCAGTTGCCGCTTTCATAGTTTTCTCCGTGCATCTTCTCTGAGCGCTTTATTATGATAAAAACGATTTTTGCTATGCCACAGCAATTCATTTGAACCTTATAACTTTATCAATTTATGGCAATTATAGGCATAGCTTGGACCGCAACGAACATACGAATGATGAAAACAACCGTCCCAAGCGGTTTACTAATAAACTTAACTACTTTGATACGCCGCAATAAACTGACACCAGATGTAACGGTCCGCTCCACGTTTGAGCGTTCCAACGATCAATTTGGCGCGCGTTCCAAATCGGTATCCATTTCAAGCGACTGGAGCGCGCGCCAATGTTCGACCTGTTGGAGCGCATAATCGATACGCGGCTTTATGTGAGTGTGTGTGGCGCGCAGGGCTACAGCCGGCGCTAGGTGCGCTGGGCGCGGGCACGGGCGAGGCGGAGCGCGCGCTGGTGTCACTGAGCGGCGCGCTGGAGTGCCGCACGGCGCGCGCCTACTTCGTGGCCGCCGCGCGCGCCGCCTGTGACGCCGGACTGCAGGTCACTGCTGCCACCTAGTAGTGCACAAATCAAACCGTGTATACATACAATACCTATATCCATCCATCCATAGCAGCCTATGAAAGTCCACTGCTTAACATACCTCCATAAAAAGCCTGCCTCCATAGATTGCCTCATGAGGATTATTTGCCATAGTTGTCACGCTTGGCGAGCGGGTTGGCAACCGCAGTTTTTTATTTTTAGACGTTATTAAGAAGGTGCTGCTGCCCATCTGATTAGTTTCCTTCTGTCGCTTATTACGAAACCCGCGGGATGTAATGTAGCAGTGGATATTCTTACACCGCCACTACACAGTTAAGTTACACGTCACTACTGACACAGCCAAACACTTCTATCTATATAACTAGACTGCAAAATCAACACACACACACACACACACACACACACACAACCGTGACCATTGCGCAGGCGCGGGAGGATATTTACCGTTTTTAGACAAATACGTAATAATGTTATGTAAAATAAACTTCATATCACGTTGACAATGTGCGCACATAAATAACAACGCTTTCTTATCCACATTAACCCTTCAGCCCCCAAGCGGTCTCATGAGACCGCGGCCATATTCCGTCAAATCCCTAGCGGTCTCCATGAGGTCGCACCCACCCACAACACTTTAACCCATAAAAACTTATATATAGAGACTATTTTTCTATAAAGAAGTTTGGCATTATATAATCAATATGAAATACTCTATTCTCTAGTGCAATAAAAAACTGTTATCCTATGAATATTTATTTATAATTTACATTTATTTCATACGTCATTTTCGCGTGAATGTTATTGTGTTGATTTTCTGATTTTTCTAGTGTTTTATTAGTGTTTTAGTATAGTGTGTTATTATAAAATTGTAAGGATACGTTTTGTGTGAATATAATTTATCTTTTTACGTAAATAATTTCGAGTAATATACAGGGTTACTGGTAACTCGACGTATTCCCACCAAGGCGTGATAGTTGGGGTCATAAACTATCAAATGAACCATAAAATGCATTATGCAAATGTGGACCAATTTCGAGATATTTAGATTTAATTATTTTTTTCAAAAATCCCAAAAGTCTGGTGTCAAAAATTTCTAAAAAAAAACTTACAGCTGTATTATTTTCATTTTATTATTTTTACTTAATGAAAACCTGGATACTTATTTATCAATACTACAGTGTGCAAAAAGTCTCATCATTTTCGATGTAACGCTACTAAAAAGTACAACTTTTTTCCAAACAGAAGATAAGTAATTAAAAATAAAAATGATTTTGTGAAAAATAATTGTATGTGACCAATTGTGCAAATCATGTTAAAAACATCCCTACTTATCTAGCTACCCAACAAAGTATCAATTTAGCTTGTAACTTAAATAGTACAGAAAAAACTTGAAAAAAAGGGGCCAGGTAGACAAGTTCCGAGTAGCAATATTTTGGGTAATCCGAAACAATCGCTTCTCGGAACCTTATCAACAGCTGCGGGAATGCTCGTAAAAGATTGTGCGTTTGAACTTACGCTATTGTTTACATTTAGTGTGAAATTAGAAACAAGTTAAACAAGAAGAAACTGTTCAATCAGTCATCAGTATTACAGGCATCGAGAGCGATTTTTTGGGATTACCCAAAACATTTCTACTCGGAACTTGTCTACCTGGCCGCTTTTTTTTCAAGTTTTTTCTGTACTATTTAAGTTACAAGCTAAATTGATACTTCGTTGGGTAGCTAGATAAGTAGGGATGTTCTTAACATGATTTGCACAATTGGTCACATACAATTATTTTTCACAAAATCATTTTTATTTTTAATTACTTATCTTCTGTTTGGCAAAAATTGTACTTTTAGTAGCGTTACTTCGAAAATGATGAAACTTTTTGGACACTGTAGTATTGATAAATAAGTATCCAGGTTTTCATTAAGTAAAAATAATAAAATGAAAATAATACAGCTGTAAGTTTTTTTTAGAAATTTTTGACACCAGACTTTTGGGATTTTTGAAAAAAATAATTCAACCTAAATATCTCGAAATTGGTCCACATTTGCATAATGCATTTTATGGTCCATTTCATATGTTATGACCCCAACTATCACGCCTTGGCGGGAATACGTCGAGTTACCAGTAACCCTGTATATTGAAATGATTGTGATTTTCACGCTACCGATATTCGCTTGGTACGTTTTGTTTTTGTTATCAAAATACAATAGTCTTTTGCAATAAACTAAAACCTGACTTTTAAATAGAGAATTTTGTATAGATTTTATAATGCCAAACTTCTTCATAGAAAAGAGTCTCTAAATATAAGTTTTAATGGTTTTAAGTGCTGCGGGTGGGTGCCGCTCGGGATTTGCCGGGCGCATGCGACTGCATGAAAATTTTAAGAGGCCTGAAGGGTTAAAAAAAACATTGTAAGATTTTCGAAAACAACGATCGCGGTATAAAAAACAAAGAACTAGTCTTCTCGCTTGCTCGCAGTCGACTAAAAGAGACGGTAAATTGACCGAAACTCAGTGCGCAATGTATTAAAGCCGCAGTCCATTTTGTAGTATACATATAAATAGTACAACGTCTTTGGCCATAGCTTAAAAAGAGTTTAACAGCCCAAAAACGCCTTTAATATCATGTAATACCGCCACTCATATATGTATTTAGGCTGTCCTGTATATTATAATTTATAATACTCGTAATTGTACGAGAACGTTTTATTTATACAATAAACATTGTATATTTCACGAAAATCGTAAATACTTTAAAACATGCTCGCGTCAATCGCGTGTATTGCCGGAAGCTAAGCGAAATGAGTTGGCAAGCGCCCCGCTCTCTGCCTCGTAAGGCCCCCACCGTTGCTCTGCACAAGTACATTAGTACAAGTACAGTAAAGAAGGTTACAGATATGCTGTTGTCCTTTGGAAAGATCTAGAAAAAGATACAATAATTGTGTGATATAGCAGTTATTTTTTTTAAGTTGGTCATTACAATTTACATGCTAAAATTTCCTTGCAGGCTTTATCGTTACAACTGCTGGCTGCTATAGCTGCCGGCTTCCTGTTCACGGCAATAGTTCTGGTTGACTCGCACGCTTGGATTTACATTAACACTAAGTAAGTATGTCACATATAAGAGCCGTGGTAGCTCAGATGGTTAGCGCTCGCTGTAAATTTCACAGTACGCGAGCAAACCGGGTTCGATCCCCGCCGGCACCAATGAAATTGATAATTGCAATTTTAAGAGTGCTCGGCGGTGAAGGAAAACATCGTGAGGAAACCTGCATGTCTGAGAAATAAGAAAAAAAATTTCGAAGACATGTGAAGTTCGCCAACACGCATTGGGGCAGCGTGACGGACACTTCCTTTCCCTAAAACCCTCTCAGGAATGAGAGGAGGCCTGTGCCCAGCAGTGGGAAGTATATAGGCTGTAACTTTTAATTTTTAAAGTATTTTTGTGATTCTGAAATCTAGCAAAGCAAGAGATAAAGTACATTTGTTTCTTACATACTTGAAAATAATTGTTTGTGTTCCTAATAACGGTATATATACAAGATGGTATGAACGCCATCTATCAAAAGCAATGAAGCCTTTCTGTTATTTTCCACAGTCGCCTGTTACGACACCCATTACTGTTATCGTTACAGTCACTACACACACACACATACTCACACACACACACACACAGTACAGCCTATTAGTCTTCATAGAGGAGATATTTGCCATAGCTGCCACGCTTGGTTTGCGGGTTGGTTTATTTTTAGTTGTATTTAGGAAGACGCTGCTGTCCATCTCCCAATTTGTTTACATCTGTCTCCTCTTATGACACCCACCTCTTATGTAGTAGATATTGGGTGCGTTAGGCAGAAAAAAGCGCTAGCAAGCGCTTGTAAGCAAAATGGCGAACTTCAGTAGCGCTGACACATTCCGCCATTTTTGCTTATTTAATTTATTTGTTTTGAAGTAGAGTTTAAAAATTGCTTTGTGCAATATTAGTTTAAAGTAATATAATGACATGAATAGACATATACATGTTATTAAAAATTCATGATTGTTAAGTTTTTAATATGAATACTTTACAAACATATATTTAAATTAGGTTAGGTTCCCCGGTTAAAACTAACTTCGTGTCCTAGAGGAAAATAACTACTTACGATTTGACAGCGCTTACCGCTTACGATCGCCATTTTGCTTACAAGCGCTTGCTAGCGCTTTTTTCTGCCAAACGAACCCATTGTTGTTGTAGCGATACCACACAGTTACGACGTAATCGTAACGATAACGGTAGAGATAATAGTAACGGCAACGATAATAGCAAAGGTAACGGTAATAGCAAAGGTAACGGTACGTGTGTTTTGCGGAGCAGACGCGGCGGCAGCGGCGAGGAGCAGGCGCCGTTCCTGTCGAGCGGCAGCAGCGCCGCCACGCGCTCGCTGCCGCGCCCCGCGCCCTTCCCCAACGGCAAGCCGCCCTCCTACAGCGCGGCCGTGCAGCTCATGGACCTCGCCGAGCCGCAGCGCCCCAGGTACCGCTGTCCGCATGCCGAAACACACCGTCTTCCGCTCAACAATGGCCGTCTTTGTTGGAGGGTTGGCCGCTCCTGCATCACAGCTGTGCAGCTCATGGACCTCGTCGAGCTGCAGCACGGCGGCCTCTACTTGAGAGTTGGGTGGTGTGTGGCACACGTCCAGTGGTAGAGCCATGCTGCAACTTAATTATGACATAATCAGAGTAGGACCAAGGTCTCACAGAGTACTAGCGTAGAATAGTAGCTTAATGCTGTTGTGTTTTGTATGGTGAGTGTACAGAACCGGATAGTCTTTTTACTAGTAACAAGGCTTACCGTGTTAGACTTCAAGGGTCGCATCTGCATTTTGATTATTAATCAAGGTCAACGTAGTTATCCATGAGTCATAGCATCCACATACGATCGGGTGTACTTTTTCATCTTTATTTTTTAAAAAGAACAAAATATGTCCATCCTGCAACAAACTCTCCCAACACATGAGTTGTTGGCACGCTGGCTATACCGATCATTTAATGTTCTAACACATGTTTGAAAATAAACGAAAACAGAAGTATCGTCCAATCCTCTATAGAAAACTGATAAATATTGATACTACAAAGATATTCCAACCCTGTTTTTTTATAGAAGAGGGGGCAAACGAGCATGCGGCTCACCTGATGTTAAGCGACTACCGCCGCCCATGATCAACCGCAACACCAGGGGAATTGCAGGTGCGTTGCCGGCCCTTTAGAAACGAATAAGCTCTTTTCTTGAAGATCCCCAGGTCGTATCGCTCCGGAAAAATCGCCGGTGGTAAACTATTCCACAGAGGTTGTACGCGGAAGAAAACTCCTTTTGAAACGTACAGTGGTGGACCGCCAAGCATCCAGATGGTGTGGATGGCATCGGGACGTTTGCCGCGTAGTGCGTTCACGAAATTTAGCGGCTGGGATTAATCCGAACAATTCCTCAGAGCACTCTCCCCATGGTCTATGCGAAAGAAAATGCAAAGAGATGCAACATCTCTTCGCAGTGCCAGTGAATCGAGCCGATCGGAAAGCACTCGGTCGTCGACGATTCGAGCCGCTCTGCGCTGGATGCGGTCAAGTGGAAGGAGCTGGTACTGGGGAGCCCCAGACCAGAGATGGGAACGGTATTCCATGTGCGGCCGAACCTGCGCCTTGTAAAGTTGCAGGCGGTGTGCTTGCATGAAATACTGTCCCGCTCTGCTGAACACGCTAAGCTTTATAGAGGCCAATTTGGCCTTCTCTTCCAAGTGACCACGAAACTGCACGTCACTCGATATGTCGACGCCGAGGATTCCGATACTGGCTGAGGCAACAAGGGGAGTGCCTTGAAACTGAGTAGATACGACAAAGGGGTTTTTTTAGCGGTTAACGCGCAAACTTGTGTCTTCTGGGGGTTAAACTGGACTAGATTTAGTCGCCCCCAATCCGAGACTCTGTTCAACAAAGACTCGACTTCAAACACAAGTTTGTCAAGCTACGAACACTATATCAGAGTTTAGCCACTATGCCTTCCTTCCTTTAACTTCTTCGCATTCGGTATTTTAGAAATCTTTGTTTTATATATCAATGTGCAGTTAAAAGTGACAAAACAGCTTGCTTAATATACAAACTTTCTTTTTACTTATTCTAAGCCAGTGCTTGGTAAATTGCACTGTCTTATCGTAACAAAATCCTGTTCACTCTTGCCTTGAAGATGCCCAGATTGTATTTGGATGGAAAGATAGACGCCCGGAAAATTATTCTACTCCTTTCCTATACGCATTAAAACGTCGAAGTAAACCTTTTGGTTCTAATGCGTGGAATATCAACAACAAAGGGGTGAAGACCCGGTCCGATGGTTTAAATAATTTGATGGTGAAAACCTAAAGATTTAATGATTGTGATCGAATTTCGACCAAGGACAAACATCCTTACTCGGCACAATTACTTGCAGTCCAAACAAATACATGTTCCGTGTGAGCGGACCTCAGCGCCGTTACTCATTGCACAGCCTTTGTGCCATTTAGCCGTCAATATTAAGTAAATAACCATAACAGATAATGACACCAATATAAATAGGTACCCCCATAAAAGACAACAACACCAATATAAGTTGACTCTTCGCAGTTCGGAAGCTGCTTGCGCGCGCAGGTCGCGCATGTCGGGCAGCGCGACGCTGGGGCGCGCGAGCGGCGGGCTGGGCGCGCTGGGCGCACTGGGCGGCGCGCACACGCTGGGCCGCGCGCCGCACAACGGCAAGTACGCGACGCTCAGCAAGCAGTGCAAGACGCTCGAGAGCAGCGACTTCTACTGAGAACGGCCCGGCGGCGGCGCGCACAACGAACCCACCGCCGGTTGGTTTATCTTACATTTTTAATATTGTTTGCCTGCGTGAATTGTTCCTCCACTGACCGGTTGATATTTCATATAGACAACTCACTAATTTAAAAAAAAGGTTATTTGAAAACTTAGTAATTAAACCTTGCCGTAAAGTTAAAAACCGAACGATTTCATTAATACCTAAATATGGGCTTATTTATATAATAATATAATATAAGAGTCTGTCTGTATTATCTATATACAATAATGGTTATGTACCAGCCAAACGGCTGTAATATAAATTGCCTTATTTATGTAAGGGGGTTATTTGGTAATATTTTTTTAACTTTATGCATCGTTTTTGTTTTGTATATTTTTCCTGCTGCGTGTTTTATAATATGTTTTAGCTAAAATTTAACAAAAACTCATTTTTTTTTAATAATATACTGGGAGCTTTTAAATATTAATTTAAATTTTACAAAATTTACCTTGATTTTATCAAAAATTATTTAGGTATATGATGAAAATTGTGTGCAAGTGTCACTTGTTAATTCTGTCTACAACATTGTGTATTAACCGCAGGACAATCTGGCCGTGCGGTGAGCTTGAACCGTTTCGACCCGAAGTACGCGTCATTCGGGCCCCGCGCGCCCCGCCCGCGCCCCGCCGCGCCCGCGCCTCCACTCGCCACTTTCTCCCCCGCGCCCGCGCCGACTCCCCCCTGCCACCGCGCCCCCCACCACTATCCCCTCTTTAACCCCCGCCCCCGATAAGTACGCGACGGTCCGCCCCTCGCGCCGTACCGAGCCGCAGCCGCTGTCGGCCGCCGCGCTCGAGTACCGCAGCCTTCAGCGACCTCGCCGCCAGCAGCAGCCCAACACGGGCACTCAGCACCGCCGCCGACCTGACCGACAACACCATGACCAACGCGACCTGTACGCTGTCACAGAATTGTAAACACTATGCGAAGAGCAATCAATTTGAAATTAGATTGCCGTTTGTACAAGTAGCTTCGCCGCCGACCCTCAAATAGATAGTTCCGTTGTCTATACGACTGACATCGTCACGACTAGCGCTACCTATGTCTCACAGTAGCATAATACTCATAATAGCAATATTCACTATATTGCTATTTATTCACATTTCACTAAATTGATTTGCCGCCGTCACCAAACTGTAAGCTCTATTCTGTAAGGAATAAAGTTTAACTTTAAACTAAATTTGTTTGCTTTTTAGATTTGTATGTATTATGCGGACAAGTTGAAATAGCATCGGTGCAAAGGCTACCCTTTTTGTAAGTTTTAGAGCACCATGGCTTCTACTTATGCTACATAAATGTAAGCAATTTTTCAAGGATAAAGTCGAAACTCGGATAGCAAAATGTAGGCGGTAAAGTTCGAATCGATCTACAATCGATATTACACGCTTTTGAATGAACATGATTTACAATGGTAAAATGCCGTAAAATATAATGCATACATAATAATATGCCGTTAAATATAATTGAGCTTATGGCATGAACAGTAGACATACCAATAATTTATGTAGGTGACAGTTATTTATATTTGTATGCGAAGAATAGCATGCAGTTTATGCAAAGAGGATAACTTCCAAATATTAACGTAAGGGTTCCAGTTATAGTTAATATGTGCCTATTATAATGACACAAACATGGGTAAGACATATATCAAGATTTTATTTCTCAAGTGATATAGAAAAAATTGTTTTCAACCCCATATTGTAAAAGACGTAATGTAATACAGATCAAGCGAATATGAACTTTATTTCCTGGAGTTATTTTGTTATCATTCGTCGTATAACGATTATCACTCTAATGCTCTACTATGCTTATCATAGTTAATGAGATGAGTGATGTTTTGACTTTATTTTTATTTAAGTCAAAAATTTCATTTTATTTACAAGAAAACAAGGAAATTGATTTTGTATGATTGTATGAGATATGTAATCGCTCAAATGACGTTATCATGTGTCAAAAGATGTTAAAAAATAAATTCCGTTCTTTTTGTACTGTTTAAGCTTTAAGTGAATGCTCAAATTTTATGAAATGGTCTAATTTATTTGTATACGCAATTGTTGACTTACTTTATTTTTACAAATTTGTTTTTATAACTAAATTAACATATAAAATGACATTTTAAATATTTCACAGGCCTAACAAATGTTTTATAAGCGTTTTGGTAATTTGATAGACACTTTTCAACACCTTTATATAATTTTTTTATTCAGTTAAAAAGGTCTTTTAACTGGATATAATTCGACGTCTCAGTAAATGTAAATCGATTCGAATTGGAAACAAGGAATTGTTTTTATTATAAAAAAATCATTATTACTGTATCACAGTAGATAAAAGTAAGTGACTTTACCTCTCTTTTTTTATAATGTCCACACTGATGGCTGTGTAAGAATCGTAACTGACCAATAACGATAGAATATCGTTAAAGTTTATATTTTACATTTTATCGCGTTTGTGGTAACATAGGTCTTTGAATGTACGATTTTGGACTCTGTTTTAGCTCAATGTAGAATTAAGGTGACTTTCGTGTTTTGGTCTAATTAATCGTTAATGGTACATGTTAACGTTAAATAGCGATTTTAGCGTCTGAAGAGAGAATGCCAAAGTAGGAAATTGGTATGTTAGAGAAATACGCGTTGCGTACATTAGAATAGGAAGAGTCTTGTAGATTTCGAAACGACTCGAGTTTGAAGAACCGCGATATTAACAGCAGGCTTAAGTATGATGTACACTAAGGGCCGATTTCACCAAACTCAGATAAGTTTTATTCCAAGAGTAATGATATAAGTTATTCTAGGATATCAAATTTTACATTTCACCAATTATTTAACCCAAGAATAAATAGTTAACCAAGAGATAAGATTTATACTCCCGATTCTGAAGGATTACGGAGTTATTCTTCGGTTAAAAATGGCCGACAGGCTGTCAGCTGTTAATTATTTGACATTTTTAATAGTCTGTCGCGTACGTCCAAGTTTCTTGTTCCTGAATTCCTGCTTGATTAATAATTTTTTAGTTTAATTATTATTGAGAGTACATAGCTATACATAATGCAATGTTTGAGAAGAATGATTAACAATAGTGACAGTGATGATAGTGAAGATGAAACATATTATGTTGTAAAACGTCCAAGGTGGATAAAAGAAAGGAATAATTATTTTTATGACTATGATGACGAAGACTTTAGGATAAGATTTCGGTTATCTAAATCAGCAGCTCATAATCTTTTGATCAAAATTGAAGATCATTTGGAATTTATATCTGAGAGGTGAGTCTTTGTACCTATTTATACTGTTCGTAGGTACATAATACGGCAATTAATTGCTCTAAAATAAAACTGTTTTGGTTTACAGGAATCAATCAATTTCGCCAATTAATCAGCTTTTGGCAACACTAAGGTTTTATGCTACGAATAATTCACAATTAACGATCGGTGATTTTAGTGGGCTCAGCACACCTACAGCACACAGAATAATACATAGAGTTAGTGCTGCGATAGCGTCATTGAACCACGAGTACATAAAATTTCCGAATACTCAACAGGAAATTCGGGGAAATCAAAGGGAGTCTTTATACAATCATTCACTCGCTCATTCAAATAGTCTTCCACAGATAAGTAAAACCGTTTTTCGAAAGAATAGTTAATCTGAGGCTAACTAATCTGTTGTTTTGCACGGTGAAATGTGCAGTAAGTTATCTGAGAGTAAAAGTACGGAATATCTTTATTCTCGGGTTAGTTAATCTTAGACAACGACGTCGTTGGTGAAATCGGCACTAAGTCTCATTTTATAATATACATTTTGTATATATACATTTAGTAATGTAATCGGTATCTATACATTTGTATTTATTTTAACTAAGCTCGGTTTTGTGTGATGTACCATTTATTAAAGGTATTCAAAGCTATGTAGTCCTTAAGTAGATTGGAAATGAATAGAAGAAGCGTATCGTTGATTTGGAATCTCGTATCGAATTAGTGCTTTGGGAATATTTTCTTTAATGTATCATATTTACAGCTCAAACGATTTGAACTGGTTTAGAGCTGACCTAATTGTATATAATATATTAAATTTAGTCATCTATAATTGAAAACTTTTCTAGTAATTAGGTATTTAATATTGAATTATATGATAATTGTAAAGTTGATTTAAGATTAAGCATTCCATTGTCTAAAGTGGATATGGTGCAAAGCGAGACTTAAAAATCAATCTTATCAATTGGTAATAAGGTTCGAATTTGAAACTGCCATATGACAAAATAATGAAAAGATTTTAGTGCTATTGTTTTAAAGGAAAACCTAGACACTACTTGCGCTGTAACACCATAAATGTATTTGATAATAATATAGATGATATAATAGAAAAGAAATAATCGTGAAAATTACAGTTTATGTTATGGGAATATAAACATATTTACGGTCGACTATTGCTTATATAATGATGTTCATAAATAATTATTGTATTTGAAATTTGTGGAATGTATTATTTTAAAATGGTGAAAATTAAATAATAACCAGTTTTACTGATATTGTGACTAAAATTGTTAGTAGTATTGACAGCTTTTGACGGAGAATGCAGTTGAAAAATATAACACCAACCGTAACATACAATAGTGAATATTATATAATTAGATTATTTTCCCTCATTAATTGGTGTTTTCACGATAATTTCTTCAATAAAATTATCTTTTAATGATAAAATAGTTTTAGTGGTAAGCGACATGGTACCAGTTTTTATTCAGTATTAAGAATAGTGAATTTTGTGAGACTTTACAACGACGTTGGTACATTTTTTATGATCGATATATTATTTAGTTATCTCGAACAATTCTGTCGGTACCGTAAGCAGTGTATTCGCCAAAGATATTGCATAATTTAATGTAAGTAATGCGTAATTAGCATAGGTGTAAGATTATTGTAGGCTCACGTTCTATTTTTATTGGCTGCCATATTGTGTGCTGGT